GTGCAGTCATAATACCTTGCTATCCGTTACTTATTTAAGGACATAAATTTGTGAATATCGTTCTTAAAAAGTGTACATTGTAAATAAAATATGCAATAGTATACGTATACATATATATTTCAACTTTTGATTAAAGCATAGACATATACGAGGTTGTACTTTATCTATGTCAAAAGTTATATAGTATTATGTTTGAATTAATCCACATTAACAAGATGAGGCAAAGCAAAGCGCGCGTTTTTTGTTTTTGGAGCAAAGCTAGGTTAGAAAAAGTTTACTCTGATATGATTAATGATTACAACACAGAATACATAAAATTATTTACGCAAAGAAAAAATTATTTTAAACCAAATATCAAATTCACTTAGACTAAGGCAAAAACAGTTAAAAATCGTTATTCTTTAATAATATATTTTTCTTTTGTCGCTGACATCTTTGGAGGAAATTAAAGAAGAAATCTTATGGTATTTTTCACATGATTTATTCTTATATTCTATTTACTTACACTACATAGAAGGCTTCAAAACAGGGAAAGGAAAAAGAAAGACTGATGTTATTTCGAAAATACGATTTATTAACCTGATGAATGTAAATTCTGTAACGCGCGCTCACACGTACAATGTCTTCTCTGTCATGCTCGTCTCTACATTCTCACGCACGCGGTATACAAAATCTATATTGTTATTATACTTAAACATCATGACGCGTAGCTTATTCGTTAAACGTACACTATCCTAAAGATCGTATTTAAGTTACTATGTCGATTCCAGTAACCCAGATCGTTGAAAAGTCCCTTTTACGAAATTATAAAGCAAGTTTCCAAAAAAAAAGCATGTTGAGATGCATCCAAGTTATCTCCCTCACTCTCGATTCCTTTTTTGTTGAATCCTTTTGGCTTTTGTTCATTTTAATTTGTCGATTACGTTTATTACAGATTCATCTTTCTAAGAAGATTCGTGTAAGTAGGTACATTACTTGTTTTCTCTTCGCTTTTGAGAGAAGGGAATGAGAATCATCGTTTAAAGACGAATAATAATAATTATTTTGGAGAAAGAAAGAGAACGTTTTTAAAGTTCGTGAAAATTTCAGATACGAGTGAAATACAATTATAAAAGTTTTAATAATGAATTAAATTTATACAAAACTTATGCCATCATTATTCGTCATTGCCAGACGAATATAAGTTTTATTACTGAAATATAAATTTTTAGATATTTTTAATTTCTTTACAGTTTGAAAATTTCTTTTATCTTTATAATTTCATAAAGATTACATTTAAGTTTTATTATAAAAAGAGGAATAAAGTATATTAGTGTACTCTAATTTCGTTGTTTTTTCAGTTATTCGTATATTATTTCGGTCATGCCGAATTATTTAAAAATTCAAGTTTGTTTCAAAGAAAATCAGAGCATTATTTTCAATAAGAAAAAAGGTATGATTTCTCTTTCTTTTTCTAAGTAAAGAACACAATATAACTTCGATGATTCCCAATCGATAATGTCGTCAAATTAATTCTTAATTGCTCTCGTAATCTCGTTTATCGATTATAGCATCGAACGACTATCGATCGACTAACATGTTAGCTAATCGTTACTATTCAATACGCAAATTACAGTTGCAATTAACAATTAGTCGATGAGTCTTTTTAAAAAAATGTATTCCTAAGGGGAACAAAGAAAGGGACAGAGAAAGAGAGAGAGAGAGAAAGAAGGGGGAGTGGGGGAGCAAAAAATGTGTACTCAACTGCACTCGGCGCACCTAAACGATACGTTAAACATTTTTCCTAATATCATTGTTAAATAAACGCGTTAATAACAACCGATATGTTTTCGATTTTCATCCTAGAATGTCCCTTAATTGTGAATATAGTTAGAATAAAAGA